GTGTGTGTCACACTGAGCATAGCTTGAGCAAAGGAGACCAACTCCACAGTGACATCTTTCCTTCAACAAGGCCACACCTCCTAATAGTGCTATTCCCTATAAATTTATGGGGCCACTGGCATTCAAACTACTGGTAGATTCCTTAAATATTAGCTATCCTCCTGACAAGAGGACACATGGGTCCATTAGTTTGACTATGAGGTCCTTTAAATTTGGGAGTCTTGTTGCCCTAAGAAGCTAGTTGTAAAGAGTTTCCTTTCCAGGATGAGTTGAACTATGGGTAAATTCAGTAACCTCTTTAAACATCCATTTTAATTACTTTCTCTTGCTGTGAAGAGACACTATGACTAAGGCAGCTTACAAAAGGAAGCATTTAACTGGGGGTTGGCTTGCAGTTTCAGAAGGTTAGTTTCTGATCATCATGGTGGGAAGTGTGATGGCAGGCAGGCAGGCCGGCAGGCAGGCAGGCATGGTGCTGGAGTAGTAGCTGAGAGCTTGCATCCTGATCCTTAAGGTGGAGGCAGTGAGAGAGTGCAAGACTGGGAATGGTGTGGGCTTTTAAAGCCTCAAAGTGTCCCCCCCCCTCGTGACACACCTCCTACACCTCCAAATAGTTCTATTAACTGGAAACCAAGCATTCAAACATAGAAACCTATGGGGGGCATTCTCCTTCAAACAACCACACCGATAAACACCTCTACATCTTTTCCAGTAACCAGACCTTTCCTTGTGTGCTTATAAAATCTGGAATGTACTGAAGGGAATCAAATAGGCATTCTTGCCCTGTTAGTGCTTATCTAAAGAAGACGTGGAAAGGAGTCAGGCTGGCCACTACCTTCAGCCTCTGAGGAGAGTTTGGACAGCTCCTTTTTCATCATCTGCTCTCTTCATTCAGAATGCACTCTGAATTTTTCTCAGCTATACTGATGGCCAGTGGGTCCCACCCTGGAAATCAGGAGCTCTCTGTGAAGATGGCTTCTTCCTTCCTTCTGGGTTACCCAAAGTGGACTGGAGGGTGTCAGCTCCTTAGAGCAGCTTGCTTGCTTATTTCCCCTCCAGTACAGTCCCAATGTTTGCTATTAAAAACTATAAAGACAGTCTCTACCAGACCAGAAAAGTTAAGACTGTGGATCCGCAGGCCGAGGCAAGCATATCTCTAAGAGTTCAAGGCCAGCATGGTATGCAGAGTGAGTTCCAGGAAAGCCGGGGCTACACAGAAAAACCCTGTCTCAAACAACAATAAAAAAAGATATCCAAATTCAAAACAGAAAACCACCCTTTCTTAGTAAAGAACACATGTTATTTTTCACAGTTTGATGGATGTCATCTGCTGGTTGTTTCCAGCATCCGTTTGTGACTGGCCCAACGCAGTGATCTCTTATGCCAAAGCTGGTTTGCGTTAACAGCAAGGGAATTTGTAGAATTGGAGAGTTGAAAAAAAGATAAGTAGATCAAATTTTGGATGGAAGTAGGACTTCATAGTATTACTGAGGAACATATGTAACTCCAACACCCTTGAACTATTCTTTCCACTTGGCAGTTTGTATCAATAGTTTACTCAAGTGAAATGAAAGCCTTATTTATTTTGCTTTATACTATAAATCATCACTAGGAGTAAGAAAAATTGCTGGAAAGAGTAACTGAAGGTAAAGGATTTTAAGTTAATTGTCATCTTTTTTGGATATGTTGGATTATTGTATGGTTAAGAGTGGTTTTTTTGTTTTGTTTTGTTTTTTGTTTTTTTTTTTTGAGTGGGGAGGGTTTATTCAGGAGATTGAAATAGGTCCCTTGTCTGGGCAGCAGACATTTGCTATTACAGCTTATTTTGAAATGATTTATGTTTTGTATTGTTATATCTTATTTTTAAATTATTACTGATTTTCCCTCTTAGGGACATGGCAGCATGTGGAAGTAATACATATTTGTAATATTTGCAGAGGCCTACCTCTGGGGCTCTGGGCAGAGGAGGCTCGGCTGCCCGTCCTGAAATGCCAAAGGCAAGTGGTGGTAAAAGGCATGAGAGACATTTTAATTGGTGTGGGGACAGGGAAGAACAAAGTCTAGTGGTCTAAAATCTGTCTTTGAGGGAATAACAAGAGCTTTGAGGTTTTTATAGAGGATTATAAAAAGCAAGAGTTGTGGTTTGCATGCTTGGTGATTTGCCTGAGTAGATAATCTCAGTTAGGTGGTAGTATAGTTGGTCATTATCTCAGGTGTGGTTCTGAACCCTGTGCATGTGGTGGTTTCTGTCTTCAATCCCAGCACTTAGGATGCTGAGGCAGGAGTGTTACTGAGATTGGAGGCCAGCCTGGGGTGTGTAGTGAAACCCTGTCCACCAAATTCAGAGAAATCTTCATCACTGGAGGGAACAAAGCAGTTTCCATTGTAAGAAGATTGTTTCTCTTAGGGCTCAGCTTGAGTTCTTTCATCAGGAGAACTAGCTCCATTCTGGCAGGAGGGTAAGTGTACGTAGCTGGATGTCATCATCATGTGGCCATCTGTCTGTGAGACTCTGGTGCTTGGCGTTGGTTTTGGCCTCTTGTTATAAAGATAGAAATCAGATCATCTGTTCCTGGAATCCAAGGTAATTTGTAGGAGGGAATGACTCAAGAGAATTCAGAAGGAAAAAAAAAATCCCAGGTAAACCTGAGTAAGAGAGGGACAAAATGGACTTAGGTCAGTGAGTGGACTCCACTTCACAAAGACTGTCTTGTGTATGTCTGTTATTAAATGAAAGATAACCTCTTTTTTTTTTTGAAGTAACTCTCATTTGTTTCTCTCTAACATTAAAATTGTCAATGTGTAATGTTTCTGTTTTTTTGAGTCAAACTGAGTTCTCTTTCTGACATCTCAAAGAATGAACATGGTACCTTATGCCTTTAATTCTAGCACTTGGGAGGCAGAGGCAGGAGGATCTCTTGTGATCTCAAGAGTAGCCTGGTTTACCTAAGCAAGTTCTAGGCCATCCAGTTCTGCACAGTTAGACTCTATCTCAACAACAACAAAAACCCAAATTGGTTATATTTCTTTTGGAGGATTTTTGTTGTTGTTATGCCAGTTTTGACAAATGAATCAGAAATGTAAGGACTTTAATCATGATTAAGAAATACTTACATTAGCACTCAGAGTGTCCCTTGCACCTTGCCTGGGCAACACAGTGGAGCTGGCCCTTAATGGTTCAGGTGTGGGAGAGCTGACTCTGAGAGCATGAAAGCAGGAGATCTGGCTCTGCCCCTTGCTCATTGCTGCAAGGGGTGCACTCACTACCTGTGGGTGTTGGTGTTAGTGTGGTGGTGGCGGTAGGTCAGTGCTGGAGAACTCACTTTGGTGGTGAGGACTGGGGAGAGCTGGTGGGCTGACCAACTGTGCAAGTACCCAGACCCAGCACCAGGATTATATGTTGGCCCATCCCACTATCTACCCCAACTGTGATCTACTGGAGCATATGAAGGGACCAGTCCTGCAGACCAAAAGCTGGATCTCCACAACACAGAGTAACAATAGGATATCCAAGAAGAGTCCCGGTGAGGGCCCAGCACTGATAGTGAGGCAGAAACCAGAGGCCTCGAACCAGACCAGTGACTCTTTGTAATGAACACTTGCATATAAAGATGTGTAAGTGAAAGGGCTTACTGCATGACTCACCATGTTACACTACAGCTTCCATGACAAGATTTCCCCCTCCCCCTTCTCTTAAATTTTATTTATATGTGATGGGGTTGCAAGGGCAGAGGGCGGATAAGAATGGATGGGGAAATAAGTGTGATCAAGATGCATGATGTGAAAGACACAAAGAATAAATAAAAAGAAAGTTATAAATAAAGAAATACTTGCATTTATGGGCACCATTAAAAGGCCTAATGGAGGGCCAGTGAACAGAGTTCATTTCCCTAAACCTACATGGTAGAAGGAGAAAAAGGAATCTCAAAGGTTGTCCTTTGAATACCACTGACAATCAGCATCGTGTGTGCCTCCCCACCGTCCAGTTTAAAAGGGAAAAGGCTTAAATGGAGCCATCAACTAAAGAGTCTGCTTTTGTCTTTCCCTGCAAAGACTATAGAATTGCCCTTTGCCCTTTCCTCAACCTGTTCTCCCTCTCTCAAAAGATTGAGTTCCCTCTCCAGTTTTCAACTCTAACCTCTAGCTTGTTTTGATGTTCTTTTCCTCCCTTATCAGCTCTTAGTTAACAGAGGTGGTTTTTGGTGGTGGTGGTGTTGCTCCCCCCACCCCTTCCTTTTCTCAATATGGCCACACTGAGTAAATCTCCTTCCTCTGCCTAAATCTAGCTTGTTGGGACTGCAAAGGCCTGGGTCTTTATCCTTAAAATTCTGGAAACATGATTGACTTCTGCTACTTTACTACTATCCTCTCAGTGCTTCCCTTACTGCTAAGGTCTTGCATTAGTGCGTATGCGCATTAGTTATAATTGAATGAGCTGTTGTTAGTATACATTACTGTTGACTAAGGTCCACAGAGTAAAACAGGGCTTTTGACTGATATATAATGACAAAAAGTCACATGAAATAGTTTCCCTCCCTGTATTGGTTAGGTACCTCCCACCAATTTCTATGTTTTTAGACAACTTGGCACAAGCTAGGATCATCTGGGAAGAAGCAGCAACCTTAATTGAGAAAATGCCTCCATCAGATTGCCACTCCATTTCTATGTTTTTAGACAACTTGGCACAAGCTAGGATCATCTGGGAAGAAGCAGCAACCTTAATTGAGAAAATGCCTCCATCAGATTGCCCATAGGCCAGCTCTGTTGGGCATTTTCTTGGTTGATGATTAAGGTGGGAGGGACCAACCCACGATGGGTGGGGCCACCCCAGTTATATAAGAAAGCAGGCTGAGCAAGCCAGCAAGCAGCACCTCTCTGTGGCCTCTGCCGCAAAGACACTTTTAGTCATGGTGATCACCGCAATAGGAAGCCAGCCATGGTAGGCCCCTCGATGCTCTGTGTTCTGTTTATTCATTATCCCTTTCCTGTTTCCATTCCAGCTCCTAGAGCCATTGTTTCTACTCTGCCCATCGTGTTTCTGCATCAGCGCACATGGGTGCATGTTCATGTGGGATATGCTCAGGGAAGTGGGTGTACACGTGTGTATGTGTGTGGAGGTCAGAGGTCAACTTGGGATGGCTTTCTAGATTGTGCTCTACCTAGTTTCAGACAGGGTCTTTGAAGCTGATTGATTCAGGCCAGCTGGCTAATGAGCTTCAGGGGCCCACAATCTCTGTCCGCTGCTCAAGCACTGGGGTTACAGGTGTTTCAACCGGTCTGGCTTTCCAGTGCTGGTTCCAGAGTCTTGTGCCTGAGAGGCAAGCATTTTAGCAACTGAATAATCTCCTCCTTCCATGATAAATATTTTAGGGACAAAAGACAAATATAAATACTACCTTTTAAATAGAGTATATATGAAACAGAACAACGGACAAGAAATAAAACTAGGTTTGGGTAAGCTTTTTGATAAGTTTGAAAAGTGTAGTATGTTTCAACTGTGCTGAGCAAAGACGTTTGCATGTCATCTGAGTTTTACCCTTAAAATGACTTCAGAGTTGAATTGGTGAACAAGAGAGGTAAAATTCTCAGGAAACAGTTTGTGTTCATTGACAAGGTCAGGGATGCTGCTGCTGAGGGCTATCTGTGGTTCACTAGATGTCCTAGACTTATGGGCAGAAGAACTAAGGTTACTCAGTGGGTTAAAAAAAAAAAAAAGGTCTGTGGAGTAGGGAGAGAGAAGTCATGTGGGGTTAGTGGAGGAACTGGAGGAGAAGGAATGGGGTTAAGTTTGACCAAACCCATGGTATGTGTATATGAAATTCTCAAACAAATGAAAGATTATGAAAGAGTTTGATTAGTAGTAGTAATATTAGATAAGAGAAAAACTTTTTTCTTCCAATTCTTAGCATAGTTTGATTTATGAAATATTTTAGGGTTTATTTTCAATCTTTATCTACATTTAACTCATATGTATTTTATAGCTTTTATGCTATCAGAGACTATATTCCTAAAATGTCACATTAGAAACCAGCCATACAATACAGCCATAAAATACAGCCAATACAAAATTAGCAGTATTGCTTATTTCCTCCATCAATATTAAAAAGATGTTATAATGAGTTTGCTTTACAGAGCAACTTCTAGGCCAGCCAGGACCATATAGTAAGACCCTGTCTCAAAAAAGCAAACACAAAAAAGATGTTATAATTTTAAGCAAGAACAAAATTGTTAAGATTCTTTATGAATTTAGCCTTAATATGCTGAGACTATTTTATAAACAAATTTTTAATGTACTTCCCTCCATTATAAATGAGTTTTGTTTTCTTAAATATCTGTCTGTCTATCTATCTATCTATCTATCTATCTGTCTGTCTGTCTATCTATCTTTCTTTCTATCTATCATCTGTGGTGTGTGTGTTTGTAATGCATTACTTTTTTTGTTATAGAACTGTTGCTGCTGAAGTTAGAAAGCAGATCTCTGGACAGTACAGTGGTTCCCCCCAGCTGCTCAAAAACCTCAACATAGTCGGCAATATATCCCATCACACCTCAGTAAGTACTATATTCAAACCATGGAGTATTACAAATGCACTCCTGAGGAGACCATGAAAAAGTACTGGACAGTAAGTCAATAAATGGGGTGCTACACCAGTTTTAGCCTTTGTCGATGCACCTCATTTTTCTCATTCGAGTTGAGAGAAGGGCTTTAGGGGTGCTAGAGACGCGTTGGTTTCCTAGTCAGCTCTGAAACTCTACAAGCAGGATTTAATCAATGCTGGATTTTTATACTTAGATTTATTATATGAAAATACTAGAATCTTCTACAGTTAGACAATGAGGTAAGCACTATGTGGGCTTATAGCTCTGTCCCTTTTAATAGAAGGAAATAGCTATTGAATCATTGTTGGCCAAGCATCATAGACCTAGTCTGTAATGAAAGAAGCTATCACAAGATAGTAATTTTTATTAAGCTCATATTTATGTTTTGAATATGAATTAAAACAAACCTTCATTTTTTCTAAAATTAGCGTGCTTTCAATTTCAAATGTGGAAAACTTAAGAAGTGAATAAAAGGGACAGAGTGGCTGGGCGTGGTTTTATTTACTGTAGTCTGAGCACAGAGGCTAGAGAAGATGTTATCGACTAGATTCAGTTTACTCTTAAACACGAGAGTCTTTTAGTTATTTAGTACTTTCGCAATTCTCCCTTTAAAAAATCATCTTTTAAAAATTGGTTCTTTACTTATTGATCCAGCCTATCAGTATTCATACTTGCTGTTTTTTTTTTTTTTTGTTACTTTCATTTAAACATTCTGCTTTCTGTTGCCTTACCTTTTCTTCCTGTCTCCACTTTCTAATATTCTTAGCAACAGTATTCTTTCAAAGGCTGTGCAGTGCTTGTTGGATTCAATTTCTCTCTGTAGTCTCTTTGAAAAGGTGCTTACTAATCATGAGAGTCTTCAGACATACTGAGCCACATAGAGTATACTAAACATTCCCTTACAAACCACACTTCCATAATCACATGTAACCACATTAGCAGTAATTTCTTGCTGGCCATTACAGTCTGGTACCTGCTGTTTCCTTGTTGGTTTCAAGAATTTTTTTTTTTTTATAGTTGGTTTATTCAGATCAGAATTGAGAGAACATTAGCAGGTAGGATCTTAGGTCGCTGGAGTTTTCTGCCCTGTTCTTGTACTCTTCCCCCTGTACCTCCCTAACTTTGAACCGTATTTGTGCCTTTGAATTATTCAGAAGTTAGGCAAAGTTGCTGCCTTTCTGATATTTTATTTGCTTTCTTGTAGACATATCATACAGTCTATCACTTTAAAGAATAAATTCCATGGGATTTAGTAAAGTCACTGATGACCACCACAGTCCACTCAGAACATTTCATCACCTGAAAACCAAACCTTTGTCTCATTTTGTCATCGTTCTTTCTGAGCCCCACACAACTCATTCTTGGTTTTGAGGGAGGTCTCACTCACTAGTACCTCTTGCTAGCTTGGGATGTCTTGTAGCCTCTGGAGTGCTGGGATTATAGGTTGCACTAACACACCTAGCTAATACCAGAACTTCTGAGGGTATGCCAGAAAGTATGGAAAGTTTACATCAACAGTAATCATGCCCCAGGCAGTAGAGTTTCCTTCCTCTCTGTATAGGGAATTTCTTTTAGTATCCTTTTAGGGTAGGCTGGCAACAAAGACTTTTTTCATCAGAGTGTATTTTGACTTCCCTTCATGTTTGTGCTTAGTCTACAATTCTGAGTCGATCAGTCTTTCATTTCCTCACTTGAAAATGTTTTTTCCATTACATTACTTATTTTTTTTCTGTTGCTGTGGCCAAAAAGAAAGATGGAATCCAAAGGAGAAAATGTTAGTGTTGCTCATGGTCTGAGGATGCAGCCTACCATGGTGGGGTAGGTGTGGCGATAGGAGCCATGAAGGTGACATGGTGCTGCCCACCCCTCAGCAGACCAGGTGGACTTGCTTTCTCCCCTTTCCTCTTTAAATTTATTCTAAGGTTCCAGCTCATGAGGTGCTGTCATCCACCTCATGGAGGGTCTTCTTCCTCCCTTAGGAAGCCCAGCTCACAGACACATCCAAAGGAGTGAGTGTCTCACTAATACCCTCTGCAGTTCTTAATCCAAACAGGCTGACTGACATTAACTGCTGCAGTAAAGTCTTCTGTGGTTTTGGTGACAGGTCTACTGTAATTTGGCCTTCAGAAGTCAGGTGTCATCTCCATTTAGTTGATTACAAGTCTTGCTTAGCTGGGGCAGCAGTATGTACCTGTAATCTAGCACTCAGGAGGTTGAGCCTGAAGGGTGTTTGAGGCCAGTCTTGGATAGTGAGTTCTATGCAAGCCTTAGCTGCATAGCAAGACTATCTTTAAAAATAAAATTAAAAATTATATTTTGGTTATTATCTTTTAAGTTCACTTTGATGTGTCTTGACAATCTTTTTCTTTGTTATCCTATGAGATTTGTTTAAATTATTTTACTCTGTAGGCTTTTTGTCATATTTAGAAATTTGACCTAATAGGTTTTGGGAGATATTTAAATGTGATACTATTTAATGCTAACAAAAACAGCAACTGTCTTTTGGGTGTTTATGGTATGCATGTTCATTATTTTGCTGTATAGTAGTAAAATGTAGCTTTAGGGGCGATGGATATGTAAATATGAGTAGTAATTAAAAAATGTAGCTTTACCTGTTGCTAGTTGTTTATTACAAGGAAGACTGGACTGGAGATCTCCCCTACTTAGTAATAGGCAAGTGCATTTATTCTTGTTAATCATTCTTTTTATTATTTTAATTTTGTGAGACAGATCCTCTTTATTATATAGTTCTGGCTGTCCTGGAGCTTTCTATGTAGACCAGGCTGGCCCTGAACTCAGAGATCTGCCTGCCTCTGACTCCTGAGTGCTGACATTAAAGGTGTGTACCACAGTTCCCAGCCGAGTATTTTGTTGTTGTTTTATGTGTATGGTGTTTTGTCTGCATTTATGGCTGAGCACCATTTGCTTACAGTACCTTTTGAGGCCAGAAGAGGGTGTCAAATCCCCTAGGATTAGAGTTACAGATGGCAGTGCGCCACCCTATGACTGCTGGGAATCCAACCTGGGTCCTTTGCAAAAGCAGCCAGTGCTTTTTAACCCCTGAGCTATCTGTCTAGTCCCTCAGTTGAATCTTGAGAAATAACATGTTCTTATTTTTACTGATCTATAAACTGCACATTTATTATACATCCTTCACAGTTTTGCCTGAATGCTTTTTCCATCCTTGAATTTGAGAAGTATGATACCTTATTTAAAAGTATACTTTTAGGACCGAAGAAATGGGTCAGCAGTTAAGAGGTGCACTGCTCTTGCAAAGAACCTAAATTCTGTTCCTAGTTGTCATGTTATATGGCTCAGAGCCCTCGCCAGCTCCAGGGAAGCTAATTCCTTTTTGTGGCATGCATAAGTGCACACACACGCACTCGCACACAGGCACACACATTTTAAAAATCTTTTCAAAGTATACTTTCAGCCTGGGTAAAATGCAATGAATATTATTGATACTCCATAATTTAAATAGGGCCTGAGTATTAATTATTCTGTGGTTATTATTAAACTATTATAAATGACTGTAAACCGGGTATTTGAAAACAAAGAAGTTTGTTCTCTCATTACTCTGGACTGGGTTTCTGAAGGCAACAGAAGTGAACTGGAATAAGGGTCAGGCAGGGTCCTAGCCACTGGGGTAGTTCTGGGGGAAAAATCAGTCCTTGCCTCTTCCTGGTTCTGATGGCTTCTGACATTCCTTTACCTGAAGCTGCATCAATCACTTAATCTGTAGGGTTGAATCTTCAGTTGTCTTTTTGCTTCATCTCATATGGCTTCTTCCTCAGTGTGTACAGCCCAGGCCACCCTTTGTCTCCTTAGATGAATGTTGATGACTGCATGTAGAGCACACTCATATAATGCAGGACAGTGTCTCCGTCTTAAGCTTTTAACACATGTGTAAAGACTTTTACTATATTTCCATGTATATTATAATGCAGAGGGGCCATGGAGTAGGGTGTGGAAAGTTTGGGAGCATCATTGTTTAACATATCACATTCTGGTCATATATATTTGCTAGGATAATCACCAGTAACAACATATAAAATAAAGGCAGCTTTTAGAAACTTAGCAATACAAATTCCAAAGATAGTCATAATCATTCCAGTGAGTACCCTGAAAGCTGTGAAGTGTAACAAGATTGCTAATCACTATCTTGTTGTTAATGTGAGAGTTATGGGGAGAATTAAGAGTCTGAAGAAAGCATAAGGCAGATGAAGGCCGTGTGTTGTGATTCTTAGTGGATCTGAATATCCACTGAGATTTTCCAAAGAACTAGGTTAAAAATGTTCATTTTTTCCTTTGCTTAAAGTTGTCAGATTCTGTATTTACCTCTTCCTATGCACACACTCCTCTCTGCTAAGGTGCCCCTTACTGAAGCAGTTGATCCTGTGGACTTGGAAGATTACCTCATTACTCACCCTTTAGCTGTGGATTCTGGGCCTCTGAGAGATCTGGTTGAATTTCCTCCAGATGATATTGAAGTTGTGTATAGTCCTAGGGACTGCAGGACCCTTGTTTCAGCTGTGCCTGAGGAAAGGTAAGGAGCCATTTACCTTGTTTTTAGTATAACTATAGGAAGGCTATTTTTCATTGATTTATTTAGATCATACTTTGATGGTATGTTTGTTTCTAAGAAGAACTTCAATGACAATTTTATAAAATTCATTGCTGTATGCTTCTCTTGGAACTCCTTTTGGGGGGTCCTTCTAATAAATCTTATGTTCTAATAAAAAATAATCATTTCTTTTCTGTCTAAATTATAAATATATGTTTATTTTTTTAAACAGTGAAATGGATCCACATGTTAGAGACTGTATAAGAAGTTATACAGAAGACTGGGCAATTGTAATCAGAAAGTAAGTTGCTTGTTTATTATAATAGTTACTGTACTGAATAGAGGGGTTGAAGAGATGGCTCAGCAGCTAGAAACACTTGCTGCTGTTGTAGAGAACACAGGTTTGGTTCCAGGCACCCACATCACAACCATTTGGAATTCCAGTTTCAGGGTATCTCATAGTCTCTTTAGCATTCACAGGCACAAGCTATGCATGTGGTTACACACATGCAGGCCAACACTTACACATAAAATGAAAATAAGTAAATCTGAGAAAAAAAATCACCTAGTGGAATTTTTAATGTATTAAGTTAAATTTCATAAAAATTGTGAGACTTGTCAAGTGGTGGTGCATACCCTTAATCCCAGCACTCGGGAGGCAGGGGCAGGTGGATCTCTGTGAGTTCAAGGCCAGCCTGGGCTACAGAGCGAGTGCCAGGATAGGCTCCAAAACTACAGAGAAACCCTGTCTTGAAAAGTAAAAAGAACAAAAAAACAAAACAAAAATTGTGAGACTTAAAGTCATTAAAATGGTCAAAGAAGCAGAAGAATATGATCAATAGATATATTATTTTATGAAGTCCCATACTTTTGCTTGTTTTCTTTATAAAATATTAAGCTTGCAGGAATATGAATTTTGTATTGTTAAGAATCCGTGCAGACTGATAGGATATAATGATGATAATTCTGTAGTCCACTCTCTTAGGAAATCATGTTGGGTATTGCTGAATACTTTTTCTCAAAAATTTGCAGTTTTGCAAAACTTGAATAGCTAAGTTAAATTTAAAAGCCAACTTTCAGATCCAGCTATTTGAAGGTCTGTTTTTATTTTATTTTATTTTTAAGGTCTCCCTGTGTAGTCCAGGTGAGCCTCAAATTTGTGATCCTCCTGTCTCTGCCCCAGAGCTAGGATTTCATGTGAATGCCACCACAGCTATATTCTCTGCTGTTTTTTTTTAAACTGTCTTAATATTTATAGGTCCTAGATCTTTACATTTATTCAGTTAGGTAAATATTTGTAGAAAATAATCTGTTCTTTTCCATGACATAGTTAATAATTTTTCTAGGAGAGTATTTTTGAAATATTAAGTCATATGAAAAAGAATGCAGCTACTTTCATTACTAACTAGTAACTTTCATAATGAAGAACGGTGTTCATTCTGGAATGTTTTACCATGGTTTACTAAAGGAGAAATAAGAATAAATAGTGATCAATTTGGCTATGGCATTATTTTCACAGATGAAATGATAGGTGCTAAATAGTACTAGCAAAAGTGATAAGGGGGCTGGAAAGATGACCCAGTGGTTAAGAGCACTAGCTATTCCTGCAGAGTACCTAGGTTTGGTTTCTAGCTACAGACAGCTAACAAACATCTCTAACACCTGTTCCAGGGCATCCGACACCCTCTTCTGGCCTCTTATAGTTTTGCCCCCATAGCTACTATGTTATTTCGTTAGGCTTAAGAATGTGCTAAATCTCTTTCTGGAGGATAATACTGATACCTTATTAGTTTGAGTGTGACCTGTTAAAGCACAGTTTACTACTCTAATGAAAGGGTGTACAAACAGAGTTTTGGGAACTGTTCTGATAGCTGGAATTTTTACATTACTAGGAAAATGTAATATTCTTGTCAGATAATTGGAAAACCTTTTAATTTGGTGCATATGGGTTGGAAACCTACAATAAAAAAATCTTGATAAAGATATTAGTTGTAAAAAATAAGTTATTAGTTGTGGGAGGGGATAGTAAAGACAGAGATTGGTTGATTATTAGTTATTGACTTCAGAATCATAGTGGTTGCTCATCATTGGTTGAAGCATGATGGGAGGAGAATTAACATTAATGAGTACTTATCATTTGCTAGGTGTTTTATTGAATGCTTTATCTCATAGCATTTATGGTTTCAACACATAAGGTACCTCAGACTCAAAGCAGTTAAGTACCTATTTCTCTGAGGGCCTACAAACCAAAACGTAGGTGGCCAAGATTAGAAGCTAGGGCAGCAGATTCTAAAGCTACTTTTTCTGTTACACTAAGTATTGTTATCTTCATTGATAAATGGGAGACGAAAGGGTAGACTAGAAGTTGTTGGTATCTCGGAAAAATAGATCATGTGTGATTTGGACATAGAAAAACATGGTGCAAAGTTCTACTTTGTGATCAGTTCTCAGTTACTAGGTTTTTATATTTTGTTAGAAAGTAATTTATATTTTGTTGAAAAAGCATATTATGTTAATTTAGAAGTTCTGAACCCTCCCATATGTGTATGTAAACTAATATATGTATGTAAGGATATGTAGATCTTACTGAATTTCATTTTACGTTGTGGATTTAGATTGAGAGCTTTTATACAGTAATGAATTACTACAAAAAGTTTTAAAGTTCAGTGCTCTTACATATCTATTTACATTATTTTTTGTAAAATTTTATATTATTATTATTAATATAATATGTATTTTCTACTAG